CTCCATCCATGTTATTTTTGTTATCAAACTAATCACCATTTATTGAATGTCTACTGCTTATCAAGTATTCTGTAATGCACATTTTGCTTATTACTCACTTTAGACCTTAAAGAAACCTATGAAGTATTTTTTTCTTTTTATTTTATTGGTACATTTTAGATATATGTAGTGCTAACACTCTATACCTGTTATGTTATATTTTGCTTCTGAGGCAAGTATTATTATTCCTATATCGTAGATGAAGAAAAAAACACTTAGAAAAGTTTAAAATTTTGCCTACGACCCAGTTAATGACAGGTAGAGCAGGAATCTAAGGCTGAAATTTCACTGTGTGATTTGTGGCCTATGCTTGTCTCACTACCAGACATCAAGCTGACTCAATTGCAGTTTTGTTCCCTTACTGAGACTAAAGGTAAGGACAGGGAATTTTCCTGGTATATTTTAAAAGACATGGAGATATAATAGAATCTTAGTTACTAACAGCTGGTGTTCAAATTTTAAAAAAAAGTTTGGACGGAGGTACAGCCCACTTACCTAATGTAAGAGACCCTGGGCTTGATTCCTAGAACTGGGAAAAATTGTTTTTAAAAACTTGACATTCAGGGGATATAGTTTAGGGGCATAGCACCTGCCTGGCAAGCGTGAGGCCATGAGTTCAATCCCCAGTACCAAAAAAAAAAAAAAAAAAAAAAAAAATCTAAAAAAAAATCTGACATTTAAGTGACTTATTCAGTCTTATGTTAGCGATTTCACTGGCATTTCTCATATACTAAAAAATAAATCTGGGATCCCAAGATGGGACCCACACCATTTACTGCCTTCTCAAGAGTTGTAGAGTTTCCAAGTTAGAGGTCTCAAGAGGCACTGGCTGAGTTTGTGTGAAAGGGCAGCAAAGAACTTTCTCTTCTGGCCTTCTCGGCCTTCAGAGATCTTCTTTTCACCTCAAGAGTCGCCTCTTTTTCTCTTAGAACTGTCCTGGACGAAACATCCCTCTTCAGATCTCAAGGAAATTCACCTCTTACACCAAGGAACCCCGCATCTCTATAGAGTCCCTACGTCCTCACGGAACTGTTAACTCCCCAGGGATCACCCCAACTTCCAGGGAGCGTTCGGCTTGCAAATCCTCCTCATAGAACCCCATCTCCTCTCAGAACCCCTTCTCCTTTTCGGAGCACCACAATTCTTAGTGAATCTCCATCTCCTCACCAACCGCTCAATTTACCAAAGGAACCCGCCCAGTTCCTCTCCTCACTGGCGCCCCCCTTCGAGCTTGCCGGGCCCAGCCTCACCCCGCGGCTCCTCCACGGAGCGCCGGTGCAGCTCGCGGTAGCGCTGCAGCGAGGGGACGTGAGCGCAGCGGCTGACCTCGGGCGGCGGAGACCAACTCCGTGCCCGGGCCCCGCCTCCAGACTTCTCCCGGTTCCCGCTGCCGCTGCCACTGCTACTGCGGCCCCGTTCCTCGGGAAGCCCCATCGCGTCGAGTTCCGAGCGCAGCTGCAGCTTCTGCAGGCTCAGCCGGTGCCCGGGAGCGAAAAACAGTCCAACCCCCGCGAGGTGGAGCCTTTATCTGAAGGGCGGGTCCTGGCGGCAGGGCGAGTCCTAGGCAGCCAGTAGTGGGTGGGGCCGTGTGTCGAGGGCGGGGCCAGGCTTAGAGAAAACGGAGATACAGGGACCATACAGAAAAGTCGAAGGGTAAGGGGGCGGAGCCGACTTGCCGGAAGGGGTGGGGCCGTAGAGTGAAAGCAGAAGGGGCGGAGCAGGCACGACGGGAGAGAGAGTGGGATTGTGCTATCACCGCGCAGGGGCGGGGACAAGCATGACAGGCGAGGAGGTGGGCCCGTGGAGTGATGGGGAGTAGCCAGGCTTAATGTGACAGGACAGGAGGCAGGACCATGGAGTGACCAAGCTAGGGTCTTGGAGTGACAGAAAAGGGGTTGGGTTAGGGCAGGACTCCAGCGAAAAAAGACGGAGATCGTACGAGGAGTTGAGTAAATCTATCGTAGAGTCTTCTAGTGGTCTGATTGCACCATCCCGACTGTCATTCTACCGACTTGGAAAGCCAGATGGAGAACATTCCTCTAGGTGACAACCTTTCTGCCAAGTCCCCTCCTTTCTGAGCAACACTCCATTCTGTCCTCAGGAAAAAGTCCCTGACCTTGAGGGCACAGCCCTGTGGACAGGGCACCCTCTCGGCTAACCCTGAGGCCAGCTCCGATTTTCTCCCACTTCGGAGGACGTGTTTTCATTCTCCTCGCTTCCATAAATCTCCACTTACATCTAAACTACAAGATTCTTTAAGTGACTAAGAAAAGCCTTCAGATCTTTGCAAAAAAAAAAGAAACTAAACAAAACGAAACTCCTCACTTCACAAATGGTAAACCCAGAAAAAAAGAAGTAGCATTTGCAAGGATTAAAGAGTAAACACTGACCAAGTTAAAGCAACACCTGGTCCCCTGACTTTAATCTGTTTTTACTGTCTTCCAGTATAAGCCTTAAAGTCTTATAAAAATCTTATAAAGTATCAAAGTCAAAGAAAATTGGAAGAATCATTCTACATTCTCTTTGCTTCCCAGTTTCTTTAAGGGATTCCTTTCACCTGCACAGTTTGAGCTCAGCTACCTCTGGTTTCCCTCTGTTCTCTCTACCCAGAAAGAAGTCTGACAGGATCCTTCATCTCCTACCTGCACTCACTATCAATAAGGGCCCACCCTGAGCCAGGTGTGATGGTGCATGCTTGTAATACCAGCACTCAGGAGATTGAGGCAGGAAGATAGCTGTGAGTTCAAGGCCAACCTGGGCTACCTATCAAAACCCCGTCTCAAAAATAAACAACCACAAAATAAGGGACCATCCTACTTGTCAATTCACAGACTGACTATCAAGGCAAGAAGAACCCTTAAATGTCTAAATCCAAGAGTGACTCTGAGGTCTAAAAAGTTGGTGCCCACACAATACTTGCAACCTTATCTAGTGCTGCCCCCCTTCCTGTCTGCTCATCTATTCTTTGCCCAGATGATCAGAAGCCTAAGAATACCCTAAGCAGAAAAGTCTCCCCCATGTTCAGACATATAATGCAGAGCCTACTCAGTCCTCAAGGGAAGGATCTCGGCCCACTGGAGACACACAGATTGGACATGGATGACAGTGATGAGACATACACTTACTCAAAGAGACATCACTTGCATTGAAAGAACACACACTTCACTGAAGGTACATAGACTCACTAAGGGAGAACAGATCTTTCAGGGTTGTGTGTGTCAGATCCCATGGAAAAGCTCTAAGGGACATAAATGTCTTGGAATGGCACTGATCCTATTGAGGAGACATGGATTTTCTCCTAAGAGATATAGAAGCTGCCAAAGAGATTGAGCCCCCAAGGAGAGGATTCAAATCCCACCGAAGGGCCTTCAGTTACACTGAAGAGGTGAATATCACTGAGAGGACACAGACTTCATTTAGTGGGGCAGACATGTCCCCACTAAATGGGGCAGACACCAGACCTCACAGAAGCAAAATAATACTTCATTGAGGAAATAATGTCCTCTCTGTGGGGAGGAAGGCTCATGTAATTCTACCTATACAAATAGAAGCAATTAGTATAGCCACCCACCATCACCACACAGCTTTGAGTGACCTTACCTCCTTTCAATCCTCTTTCCTAACTGGTTCTCCAAAACCCTACTGTTTCCTACCCACTGCCGCCACCTCCTGTCTACCGGCGGTACTGCGTGCGCTATGACCGTCGTATGTGCTGAAATTGTGTTTGAGCCTGGTGTCCGGTGTTAGCGCGATGTGTGTCCACGGGCTTGACTACCTTTCTCCATTTACCTGTGGACTGTGTAATAGATGTCTGGACTGCAGGCCTCGTAAAAGAGAAAATATCTCGCATCCTTAAAGAAGTAGCACAAGCTGTACTGTGGTTGGAACTCCTGAAAATGTGGAAGTGATGGATATGTTTGGATAAAATGAGAATCCACAAGAATAAAGTAATGATGATGATGGCATTGAGTAGATGTTAAGTCCTTTATGAGGCACCTTCAAACCCTTATTTAATCCTCATCACGACTCTTTAAAGTGAATACTATTGCTGTTTCTATTCCACAGGTAAAGGATATGTCTTACCCAAGATCACACATATTGTTAGCAGTATTACCGGAAACAGCACTCAGTTATCTAACCTGCAGAGATTCTCAGCGTTTTTCCTCCCTTTCCCATCCCCTCTCTCTTCCCCCGCCATTTTTTTTTCTCAAATGTCCTTTTCTAGAACCACATTTAAAAGAAAAACTCTTAAAATGACAATAAATATTCAGGTTCCAAAAACCTCGTTCCAGGCTACTGAATCATAATTTCTGGAGTGAAATCTAGGACTTTGCTTTCAAAGATCCCAACACACAGTGAAGTTTGAGGATCATTCTCCTATGCTGACGGATCAGGGTTACAGAACAGAGTTGCGGTTGAAAGAGGATCTGAGGTCAGAAGGGAGATCGTTATCCGAGAGGAGTCTGGAGGTGAATAATCAGTCTGGGGATGAAGTAAGAGCTGGGATTTTTAGAGGGATCTGTGGGCAAGGTGAAGGTAAAGGTCTAAAACAGAAGTAGTAGTCTGAGATTGAAGAAGAGCATCTTAGAGTAAGGAGAGGTTTGTGGTCCAAAGAGTTTTGGGTCAGAGACAAGATCTGGGGGTCAGAGGGATTTGTGATTAGAAAAGATCTGTAATCCAAAGAAAGAGTCTGGGGTCTGCGTAGATACTAGCTGGATTCAGAATGGAAGAAGGAAGGGGTTTGACCCCGGAGTTGCGTGAGTAGCCCAAAGCCACCTTCATCGGCTTGCAGCACACTCACCACGCCAATCCTCCACCGCCTGCTAGCTCTCCATCGTCCCGCGCCTGCGGGCTAGCTGCAAGCTGCCAGTGCTAAGCAGGTGGGAGCTAGTCAGATAGGGATGCAGTAGACTGTGGGGGCGCCCCCTCACGGCTGTCCAGGAGCTCAGGCCCCGCCCTCCGCCCTCGCACCCCCACCCCCTCCCCAGCCACTTCCGGCAGGCGCTGCGCTGCTGGGGGGTGCGGGTGAGGATGGCGGCGGAGAGCGAAGCCAGCCAGGAAAGCGCCCTGGGCGCCTACTCGCCGGTGGACTACATGAGCATCACCAGCTTCCCGCGACTTCCCGAGGACGAGCCGGCGCCTGCAGCCCCGCTGAGGAGCCATAAGGATGAGGACGCCTTCCTGGGAGATCCTGATACCGGTGAGGCCCGCCGGTCGCGACCCTGCCCCTCTTGGAAAGTCTCTGTCCTCATCTGTTCTGAGCATCCACCTCCAGCCCCCATCTCCTGAATTCATTCCCTTCCTCCTGGACCTCTCCCTTATCTCTGTTAATTATCTGGTGGAGAAGGGTGCATTTCTGCCTAGGAGGCTTAGGGTACGACAAGGAAGATCATGCCAGGTACTGCAGTAGGAGTGATTGGGGTTAGCTTTTGGGAGAATGAACCAGTCAACACGGAGGGGAGAGCCTAAGGGACAGCTGGGATCACCCAGTGAAGGCTTTTCTTTAGCCGCGGAGAACAGAATAGGAGAAACCAAGTCAGAGACTGCAGCAGGAGGGATAGAGTCTAGGTTTTAAGTAGAACTTCCTACAAGCAGGGATTATGGGAAGCAGGGAGTCTGGAGAATCTGAGAATCTGTTCGCGACCAGGGAGGATTCCAGAGAACATAATTTTCTTCTGCCTGGTAGTGTTGGCTATTGGGACATAGGGGGATAGAATGCATGACCTCTCAAAGTCCTTGGGGACTAAAGTACCTTTGCTGTCCAGTGGATTATCCCATCCCTCTGGCAGCCATGGATCTGGCCCTGATGTTATTAACATGCCCTGCTTCCTAAGAAGCAGTCTCTAGAATTTTACTGTGTTCTCAGCCCTCTGCAATAACTACAAAAGGATCTGGGTAGGGTGGGGAGATACCTGGCAATCAAGAGCTCCCTGAGCATTCCTTGCCTATTGCTATCTCTTCTAGCCATGTGGCCCAGCTCTGTCCTCCCCTCCGTTCTTCACCCTCCATCCCCCAGCCCTCTTCCTCAACGTCACTTCCTGGCATTAGAGCATCCTTCTGCCTCATTCTTCCTCCCAGTGCTTGCACTTGAACCTTACCCCTTACCAGTCTGCAGATGGTGCTTCTTGGGTCCAGCCTTCCCTACTCTGGTCCTTCCATAGCTGCTCCAACTAAAACATAGAGGCCCCCAGTTCTTTGTCCCACCACTGTTTACTGGTTCTCTGGCCTTCACAGGCATCCCCTGCCACCCTGACTGGACCACACTCACTTGCAATGGGGTTGAGAAGATGGGGAGGGTGGGCCGCAAAGGCTTTGGGTCACACATTTCAGGACTGCAGGTCTAAACTTGGACTCAAGCGGCAGTAGAGACAGAAATGGGAAGATGTGCCCTGGTGAATATCAGCCTGGAGTCAGCTCTTTTATTCAGAGATCATGAGGGTTATTTCTCTCCAAGCACTGCCTTGTGTTACAGTAGATGTACTTACCCTGACTGAGCTTTAGTTTCCTCTTTGGCTCAACAAAGTACACCTGTCTCTCCTAAACCAGACACTGCATAGCTTTAATATATTTTCTCCTGACTCTATAAATGTCTTAGCAGTTTTTGAAATCCTGTGATTATTTATTTGTTTGTTTGTTTATGCAATGATGTGATTACTCCATGCCTGTAAGCCCCACAAGGATAGCAATAGTGACTTTTATTCATTATCATCTCTCCAACATCCAGCACATGAGCACTGGGCTCTCAATAAATAATTGTTGAGGGAATAAATAAATGAGATGTGAGAATAACAGGGAAATGAATATTTCCAAAACCTCAGGGAGTATCATGGGGAGTTCAGTTCAGGCACTGCCCTCATATGTATAGAAATGTACAGAGACCCTGATCATTTGAACTTCTGGGGATTTAAACTTCATGACAAGGTTATATACCCAAGTTCCCAGAGACTTACCTTATACAGTCCAAGGACCTTGTCATATTAGTAGAAGTGTTTCAGTGCCATTTCACCTACCCGTACTTTCAAATCTCAAGGCTCCGTTGGTCCAGGTAGACCAGTGCAATGACTAAGATGGTCTCCTACATGGTCAGCTTCTTAGCCAAGACTTTGGTGTGTGCCTGGCTAGCCTCTAACTTTTCATTCCCCAAAACCAAGTGCCAAGCATCCCACAGTAGGCCCAGTGAAAAACAACTAGATGGTGACTACCCTAAGGATGGGAAATTCTTTCCTTTCTTCTGTGTTTCAAGTCCATGTGTGCTTCTCTCTCCCAAGCATTTGCCCATAGATACTTTGTGAGTGCCTTACCTTCCACATACAGTATTCTATACTGATACCATGATCCCATCCCACACACTTGCTCTTTCTCCAATGTCACTCTTAATGACACTGCAGTTCACCCATCTCCAAGATGGAACCCCAGGGGCCATCCTGGATCCCTTTATTTCTTCTCACTTCCAAAAAGTGACCAAGTACTCTCTGTCTCCCTCCTAAGTGTCTTCTAAATTTCATCACACCAGCCTGTCATCACTACTATAGACTAAGCCACTGACTTCTCATATCTGTATTACTCATAGATTCCTAGGTACTCTTTTGCCTCTGCCCTCACCCCAATCCCGCTAACACTCTGTACTTCTGGTCATGTTAGCCTCTGGCTGAGAATTTGTAACGGTTCTCCCCTTAAAGGAGTAGGCAAACCAGGGATGACCTCAGTCTCCAGCTAAGATCTCGCTCCTGAATTTTGGACCCACATAATCACCTCTATTCAGGGTTCTTTTGTAATAAACTCAGCTAAAACAGCTACATCTAGGAAAAGAGTTTTAGTTGGGCACAGTGGCACATATCTGTAATCCCAGCATTCAGGAGGCTGAAGCAAGAGAATTGCTGCAAGTTCAAGGACAGCCTGGACTATCTATCAAATCCAAAGCCTAAAGTACACAGGGAAACACACTCTCTCTCTCTCTCTCTCTCTCTCTCTCTCTCTCTCTGTCTCTCTCTCTCTGTCTCTCTCTCTGTCTCTCTCTTTCTCTCTCTGTCTCTGTCTCTCTCTCTCTCTCTCTCTCTCTCTCTCTCTCTCTCTCTCTCTCTCTCTCTTTTTCTCTCTCTTTGAGACAGGATCTCAGTATGTATCCTGGGATGGCCTTGAGCTCACTATGTAGTCCAGGCTGGCCTCAAACTCATAGTGAGCCTCTTGCCTCAGCCTTCTGAGTGCTAGAATTATAGGTGTACACCATCACACCTGGCTGAGACCTTGTCTAAAAAAAAGAAAAAGAAAAATGAGAGAGAAAGATAGAAAGGAAGAAAGGGAGAAAGAGGGAGAGTTTTACTGGAAAACATAATGAAAAGTCCAGAATAAAGGGTTGCAGGCATAGATAGATCAAGGTACTTAAAAAGGAATTAACTTTTCTCCATTTCTGCTCTTTCTTTTTATGGCCTTTATTGTTAGTCTCCACTTTGTTGGGGGCAGGATACCCCATGAGCTACAGGCTTACGTTCTACCAAGTTAGCAGCCTAAGCAGAGGTTTTTGTTTTCTCCAATGGTTGTACCAAAAGAACAAAATTTGAGTCTTATCTGTCTAGCTTGGGTGACATCCTTGTCCCCATTGCATTGGCAAGAACCTTATATACTGAGCCATAGATGCTTTATTAAAGGAGAGGGAGTTGGCTGAGGGAGGGGAAGAGTGTTTCCTAAAAGGAAAAACAAGGAATGTTGTATAAGTTGATAAAAATCAGATGTCTGCTAGGCTAGCTCCCACAGAATCAAAATAGTGAACACTAAATTCATCTTCATTCTCCAAAAAAGCTTGTTTCTTTTGGTCCCAAACTAACCTTTTCCCAGTGTCCTGCTGTTGCTCTTACACATCAGTAAATTCATGGTATTATTGCTCTACCACTTATGTATACATTAAGTAAATACTCTGTAGATTTTTTATTTTCTTATTTTTGTTATTATTTTTCTTTTCTTTCTTTTATTTTTGCTGAATAAATGAATAACGAGGATAGACTGGTGGAGTCATCTTAAATAGAACCAATTGTGATGGGGCCATAATGTCCTCATCTCCTGCATCCTTTTATCTCACTGGAAAAAACCAGATTGAAGGACAAGTACCTGGAAAGTGTCAACTAAAATTAGCTTCTAAGGTTGGTTTTTAAAGTTGGAAATAGTTCACAATGTCATGTGAGGCATGGAAAGAAGGCTTTCAAATTGCAGACTCTTGGTTTCTCCCACTTATTCTTTTTAAGACCTTAGATAGGCAGTATTGCCTTTTTCAGCCTTAGTTTCTTCATCTATAAAGAGGGAGAGAGTAGGAGCTCTCTCATAGTCATGTAAACACTTCGCTGAGGGAACATATGCCAAAGGCCTGGTATTTCATCAGCATCAGTAAATGTAATTTCAAAACCCTTTCCTGTACTTCTTTTGATACTTAAGGGCCAAGAAGAGTTCAGCACCCAATGAGTATTTCAGATTTGTTTGTTGAATAAATTCCAATCTTATTTACAGATTCTGTGGTACTGGTGTCAAGGATAAGAGGCAGGCATGATTGATTGAGGGACACTCCCAGAAGATAACCTCTTCCAAAAAATAAAAATTTAAAAACAAAGTACATATTCATCATAAAAAATAATATTGAGGAAAAATAAAAATTTTAAAGTTCCCCTCTCTATTCCTATCTCCCTGTAATTTTCATATATATATATATCAAAAAAATGTATAGATCAGGAAAAGAAAAACTTTATATCTATGTTTTGTTTTGTCTTGATTTTTTTAAGGAGTTGTTTTGTTTTGTTGAGAGAAAGCTTGCTATGTAGTTCAGGCTGGCCATGAACTCACTGTGTAGCCCAGGCTGGCTTCAAACTCATAGCAATCTTCCCACCTCAGCCTTTCAAGTGCTGGGATTAGAGGCATGCACCACTACACATGCATTGTATAAATATTTTAATACTAAATTTATTGAGACATCATGAGAGTACTACAAATTACTTTTGGCATTTACAATTACAAGAGGTGCTCAAAGTGGTGGCCATTAGCTTCCAGACATTTTATTGCACACTGCTGAAGTGTGTATACATTTTTTGGACAAACTCTCTGTGTCTCTCTGTTTGCCCCCCCCCTCTCTCTATATATATAAATATATGTGATAAAATTTTCAAATAAAAATTTTCACCCCATATTATTCCAATTTGAGTATTTTTCCCAAAAGCAACCACTATAAGTAACTTCTAAAATGTCCTTGAATATCTCAGCATTTTATCTATATGTGATTTCTTTAATATAAAAGAGGGAAGTGTGGGTCATGGAGGGTCTGTGTGTGTGTGTGTGTGTGTGTGTGTGTGTGTGTGTGTTGGAAGTGCTTTGATTTTTTTGTTTTGTTTTGGTTTAGTTTGGGGTTTTTGTGGGGGGATCTCTCTTAGACAGGGTCTCACTATACAGTTCAGTCAGGCTGGCCTTGAACTCACTTTATTGCCCAGGCTGGCCTTGAACTCACAGCAATCCTCCAGCTTCCCAAGTGCTGGGATTACAGGCATGCACCACCATGTCTGGCTTTGGCAGTGGTTTTTGTCAGGGTCTCACTATATAGTTCAGGGTGGCCTTGAACTTACTGTGTAGCCCACGTTGGCCTCAAACTCCCAATGATCCTCCTGCCTTAGCCTCTCAAGTACTTGGATTACAGGCTTCATGGAGGGTTTTAAACACTAAATCCAGGGGCTAGAATTTTTGCTGGGTGTGGTGGTGCACACTTATAAACAATCTTAGAGGCTAAGGCAAGGAAGATCACAAGTTAAAGCTCGTTCAGGGCATTTTAGTAATTTAGCAAGACCTGTCTCAAAATTTACAAAAAAAAATTTAAGAATCAGAGATATAGATAGTATAGAGGCTCTGATTTCAATCCTCACTACTGCAAAATAAAGTAAAAGGAGCTTAGATTTTATCATGTTGGCATCAGTGAACCATTATACTAGCTTGAAATAGCAAGATAGCCAATTTTTAATTTTATCGAACAACTTTTTAAAAGGTTATATTCAGTACACAGCAGCAGGTACTCAAAAAGTTACTGACTGCAGTGGTACATACCTATAGTCTCAACTATGTAAGGGCCAGGAGCAGCATAGCAAGTCTTTGTTTAAAAAAAGAAAAGAAAGAGTCAAAAAGGAAATAGTTAAATGAATAAACTTCTAAAAATTTTTGTGAGTATGACAAAGTTAAGATCAAGATACTTGCCAATTTCTTTATTGTTTACAAACTTTCAGGGCCTTTTGACCATTTAGGGACCTAAGTTCAAGCCTAATACACCCAGAGAGACCTATGAAATAGAAGAGAGTCTCAGCTGTGGGAGGTAGGAAAAGAATAAAATAACTTTGAACAGCTATAGAGCACTGGGTGTATATCACCTTGTGGGATCCTTGTACCCGTCTGACATGATAGGAAGGTGAGGCTTATAACTTAAAGTGACTAGGTCATAAGCACCCAGCAAGTAAATGGCTTTTTTTTTTTTTTTTTTTCCTCTTCTACCTCTATTCTTATTATCCTCTCATCTGCTCTCCAGACAGCAGCCAGAAGAATTTATTTTTCCTGGTGCTGGTGAGCAAAACCAGGGCTTCACACATGCTCAGCAAACACTGTACTACTGAGCTACAGCCCCAGCCTCCAGAGGGGTCTTTTAAAAACACAAAACAGATGACTTCGTGTTGGTGCTTAAAACTCTCCAGTGGCATCCATAATTTAAGGTAAAATCCAAGCTTCTCACAAGCCCAATAGCCCCAGCATGTTAGGGACTAACTTCCATCCTTACTACTCTTTACCCTTTTCTTCTATGTCACAGCTACCCAGGCCTTATTTCTTTCTAATGTGCCAAGTTCGTTGCCACATTTGGGTCTTTATATTTTGATGTGTCCTTTGCTAGAAACACACACACACACACACACACACACACACACACACACACACACACCATGCTCTATCTGTAACTGGCAACTCACCTTTCAGTTCTCAACTTGAAAGTCACTTCCTTGGAGAAACTTTCCCTGATTTTCCCCTGGAAGCAATCCTCCTTTACCTTTACCTCTCCCCTACCATTATTATCTACATTTCTGCCTTCTTCATAGCACCGGCCACTACTTATAATTATATACTCCTTTGCTTGTTTATTGCCTTTTTCTGCAATGAGTTTGGGAACTATCTGCACCCCCCGCCCCCCGCTTCCCCCCCCCCACCCCCCCCCCGGCATCTGGCATAGGGCCAGACATAGAGTAGGCGCTTCACAATGGGTGAATGAATGGATAACCAGAGCAAGGCTGCTTGGTGGCCGGCCTCCTTGCACAGGCTAGGCACCAGCTGGAGCAAGATCAGGTTCCAGGGAGGGCTGAGCCCCACCCTCCAGCCCATTGTTCCCAGAAGTGCTCTCGGCCCCAGTTCCCAAGTTCTGGGAACTGGCCCGGGGGCCTCTGCCTTTTGGCTGCTACCCTCTGGGTGCCTGTCCCTTTGTAGCCCCGGGGTGCGTTGGGGAGGCTCACTGCTGGCCAATGGGGCTTGAGTGAAGGGCCCAGGGCGGGGGCGCGGCGGCACAGCCCGGTGCGGAGGCTGGCAACGCCGGATAGGGGGCGCCCAAAGTGACCACCCGACCGCCCGCAGACCCAGACTCCTTCCTGAAGTCCGCTCGGCTGCAGCGGCTGCCGTCGTCGTCCTCGGAAATGGGCAGCCAGGATGGGTCGCCGCTCCGCGAGACGCGCAAAGACCCCTTCTCGGCGGCCGCTGCCGAGTGCTCCTGCCGGCAGGACGGGCTCACAGTCATCGTCACCGCCTGCCTCACCTTTGCCACAGGTGTCACCGTGGCACTTGTCATGCAGATCTACTTTGGGGATGCCCAGGTGAGGGGGAATGGCGGGCAGAGGAAAGAAAAATTAAGGAAGGGACCGTGGGAACTGGAGAATAGCTGAGTGCGGGAAAAGGGTCAGGAAATAGGAACATGTGAGGGTGGTGACTTAGAAGAAGATCCCAAAGAAAGGACTCTGGGGCATTCGGGGAACAGAAGATGGGACTTCATCCAAGTAGGAAGCAGCGGTGATAATGAGGCGATGGTCTTAGGGGAGAATCAAGAGGACAAGGAGGTACCTTAGTGAGGCAGAGCCTCCTGCTGTCTCTACCTAGGCCCCTCTCCCCTTTAGATCTTTCAGCAGGGTGCTGTGGTGACCGATGCCGCCCGCTGCACTTCTCTGGGAATGGAGGTGCTCAGTAAACAGGGATCATCTTCCGTGGATGCAGCTGTGGCAGCAGCCTTGTGTTTGGGAATCGTGGCTCCGCACAGTTCAGGCCTAGGCGGGTAAGGAGCTCCAGGATTCAGAATAGCAAAGCTATCATGGAAAATCTGGAGGTGTTTTCAAACCATTTTTTGTTTCGTTTTCCATTAAAAAGGGAAGTTTGTGAACTATAAAGTGAGATGTACAATATATACTGTCATTAAAGAAAGGCAGGAATGTGTCAACATTTAGGGTTGCAAATAAATGCCTGTGAGTCTTGACAAAAGCTATGGGCCCTCTGTCCTCCAAAACTACACCCCAGGCTAGGAATTCTTAAAACTGAGGTTACAGGGCTGGGGATTTAGCTCAGTGGCATAAGTGCCTGCCTTGCAAGCAGGCAGTCGTGAGTTCGATCCCTGGTACCGATAAGGAAAAAGACAAAAAAAAAAAAAAAAAAAACCTGAGGTTACAAATTCAGTTTATAAAATTGGTTACAAATTCAGTTTATAAAATAGAGGTCACCCATGGGCTATAGTAAGTACACATACTGGTTTAGTATGCACATTTAAATTGAGGATGGTGGTGAAATTGCAGATTAAACTCAGGGCTTTCACACTAAGGTACGTCTCTATCCCTTTATTAATTCATATATTCAATTTTGCAGTACAGGGGATTGAACCCAGGGCATTTGCACTGTTATAGCCCCAACTTGTTTTCAGTTTTTTGAGACAAGGTCTTGTTAAGTTACTAAATTGCTTAGGCTTGGTTCAAATTTGCAGTCCTTCTGCCTAAACCTCTCAGAGTGCTGGAATTACAGGCATGCACTACCATGCCCAGCTCACACCATTTTTTTTTTAATTGTTTGCCTTTATTAAAAAGTTCACAATTTCCATAAAAAACCAAGTTTCCAGTATTTCTTGAGCAATCAAGAGATCTGATAGCACTGGGCCCACATTCCACATGGCTGAGCTGAACTGAACAGAAGCTGGCTCCTGTGATGAAACAGGTGCTGTCCATTTTGCCATAGTTCCTGTCAAATCCTATTGTTTATCCAGCTTTCCTTATTTTGTTACTTGGCTGCAGATATTTCAGTTTGCAACCCCCATCTTGGATTAAAATAAGCCACAAAGTTCTTACCTTGGTTCCTACAAGGCCAACCCTCCAGGCTTTCCAAAGAAATTCTTCTTTTGGGTTTGCACTGTTTGTCCTTATGTAATCGTCCTGGGGGAGAGGGAAGGGGTTTATCAAGTAGGCAGGTGCAGGAAGCTGGCAGGAGTCCAGCTGTGGTCTAGGGTGGGGGCAGGGGACAGAACATCCTGCTCACCCAGTCTCTGGGTTCCCTAATCAGGGATTAAAGTCTCTAATAACAAAACAAGCTGGAGGAAGTCTATTAAACCTGGGTTCCCCACCCCTCTGACTTTACTCCCTACCTTTGTAGGGTGGCTGAGTCTCAGAATCAATGCTCTGGGGGAAGGGATCACAGATAGATACCCAATTCAAGATGACAAACTAAACCTACAACCCTCATCACTGGGGGCTAAAGGGTGGCAGGTTAATGGTTCAAGAGGGGTAGCATGTTACCATCCCCTTTCCTTTCTGTGTCTCTTCAGTGGGGGTGTGATGCTGATCCATGACATCCGACAAAATGAGAGCCACCTAATTGATTTCCGGGAGTCTGCACCAGGGGCCCTCAGGGAAGAGGCTCTACAAAGGTCCTGGGAGACCAAGGTGGGGACCCTAGTGAGAAGAAAGGGTCCAAAGGGCTCTACCTTTACTGTCCTTGCACTAATCCAAGAATTAATTTGCTGAATATTTTCAATAGAGGTAGGGAAAATAGTTGAGCTGGTGGTTATAGGGAGATAGGTAGCCACCCTAAAATAAAATAATGAACAAAAATTCAGGTGATTGCTAACAGGTAATACTGCAGCACTCTACTTCACTGGCAATCTCACCTACTGAGGAAGAGGAGACACAAGGAATGCGGAGGAGCCACTGAGTACCCTGAGATGTCACAGAGTGGCTGCACTAACAACACATCTCACCTGAGCCTGATGACTGTAACTTTCCCAGCATGTGTCACATTTGAAGATTAGAGAGGAACAGTTACAGGCAAACTCTACCCTTGAGAGCAAAACAGGAAAAGAATACCTAGATAGGAAATAGGTACTTAGTCTTGTGGCAAAAGTCAAACAAAAAGCTGTTATCACAGCTCCCAGTAATGATGTTGTGAAAATGAATTGGTTGAAGAAAGGTCCACCTGGTTCACTTTGTCCCTTGGGGCCCATTTTAAAAGGCAAGTATAGATTTCTATCTAAATTGGTTCTGTCCTGGCTTTTAAAAAAGTTTGCTGAATTTGTTAACTCTCCCTCCTATGGTAGATAAAGTAGGGACATAGGAGGGAAATCTTGTCCCTCCCCTGGGATAGTTGGCCTGTGTCTCTCCCCTGTGCCAGCCATCCCTGGCTTGGGGCTCTGCAGAGTTCAGCCCAGCACCCCCCTTCCAGTGACCTGGTCTCCTCTCTCCCTCGCCTGCCCGCCTTGCCCAGCCCGGGCTCTTGGTGGGGGTCCCTGGAATGGTGAAGGGGCTACATGAAGCTCATCAGCTCTATGGCAGGTAAAGACACTCTTCTGGGAACCAGAAGCCCCTGCCTGCATCTCCCCTTGGGCTACCTTCTCCTGTCCTCCTGGATTCTTCCCTTCCCAATTCCCCCACCTAATATCCCCTTCCCTTGCCAGGATTCTCCTTCCCAGGAACCCCCCTCCCCCCAGGACCCTTCCTCCTCCCCCCAGGACCTCCTCCACCCCCTGCTCTCCGGCCCCCCCAGGCTGCCATGGTCCCAAGTCCTGGCCTTCGCAGCAGCTGTGGCCCAAGATGGCTTCAACGTGACCCATGATCTAGGTCAGTGGGACCTGGGGGTTGGGGGAGAGGTACGAGGTTGATGGGAATCTTTGAGATTTGGGGCCCATGTTAGAGAGGGCTCCTCTTCCAGTCGCTCCTTAGACTTCTTCCTTGCCCATCTTACCCTCACCTGGCGGCAGTCTTGAACCAGAGGGATCTGGAAAGGACCCATATACATCCCTACCTCCCTGTAACAGGCTCTTGGTGGGTCAGAGCACTTAGGGCCTGCCACTCACTCCTCATCCATCCCACCGGGCAGGATGGCACATCTCAGCCATCCTGTCCAGTTCTGGTGTCCCCTGCCCAGCCTCCTATTCCTGCCCCCAGCCCGTGCCTTGGCTGAGCAGCTGCCTCCCAACGCATCGGAGCGCTTCCTGGAGACATTCCTGCCATTGGGCCACCCACCACTGCCCGGCTCCTTGCTGCGCAGGCCTGACCTGGCTGAGGTGCTGGATGCCCTTGGCACCTCCGGTCCTTCTGTCTTCTATGGTGGTGGCAACCTCACGCTAGAGATGGTAGCTGAGGTGAGTACAAGGATGGCAGGCAGGGGTGTGCCCCCAAGGACCTCATTGCAGGCATGCCTTCTTCCTTTCTTCCTTCCTTCCCTCCTTCCTTCCTTCCCTTCATATAGTTTCTTATTACATATACTGAAATTCTACAATGAACAAAACTAACCTCTGCTAATAGAAATCAGAATAGGAGTTACTTGGGATGTGGCATGAAAAACCCAGGGTGATAGAAATGTTGTCTTGGTTGGGAGGGTGCCTTTGGGCTTCTCAGCATTGATGCCAACCATGCAAACCTGGTGGGGACCCAGCACCAGCCTTGGTTTCCCTAAATCCATTTACAACCTTCCCTGCCCTAGGGTTTCCTAGGAGTGAGGGAAACATCTTCTGTGGTGATTGTAAGGACTGGGGAGTTTGACACAGGAAGTCACCACACAACCCCAAAGAGTTTTATTTTATTTTTTTTATTTTTATTTTTTTTTGTCTTTTTCATTTTTATCGGTACCAGGGATCGAACTCATGACTGCCTGCTTGCAAGGCAGGCGCTTATGCCGCTGAGCTAAATCCCCAGCCCCCTCCCAAAGAGTTTTAGTGTGAGATACTAAGGAATTCTGAGAACTGCTGTGAATAATCTAAAACTCCTAGTGGAAAGTTATGTTCCAGAAAATGTTGCACAGACCAACTCAGTGGTCTTCTCATCTGTGTAGTGTAAGTGTATGTATAAATGTCTGCCAACATGTTGTGGGAATTACATATATTACATGTATCTTTCATTCATTCACCAGCCACAGAGTGCTTGCTTTGTGCCAGGCCCTGTGTTGGGCACTGGAGACGTAGATGTGGTGATAGATGCCCATTCCAAATGGACTTAACTGGGAAGTCTAGATATTGGCTATAAAGTCTGCTGGTTCAAACTCATAGGACTCAACTACATCAATTTCTCTCTCTCTCGCTCTCTTTCTCTCTCTCTCTCTCTCTCTCTCTCTCTCTCGCTCTCTCTCTCTCTCCCCCCTCCCTCTTCCCCTTTTCTCCTTCCTCCCTTCTGTCCTCTCTCCCTCTGCTGCTGCCTTTCTCTTTCATCTCCCTTTCTCTGTCCCTCTTTCCATCTTCCTTCTCAATTCCTCTTCTCTCCTCCCTTTCCTCCCGCTCCCTTTCCACCTCCTTCCTTCCCCCTCCTTCTTTCTCTCCTTCCTTCTTCCTCTCCCACTCTTTTTGTCAGGTCCTTTCCATACATGTTCCCCACTAGGCCACCTTAACCCATCCTTCAACAAGCCATCCCACAGAAAGAACATTTCTCATTGGTTCCAGCAAATGCCTCAAGGTTGTGTCTCATTGGTTTGCCATGGATCTCATTACTATTCCCAAATCAATCATTGAGCCACAGAAAGGGATGATCTGATTGGCTAGACCTTTGTGCCCTTACTTAGAGCTGAAGGGAATGAAGAAGAGTATCAGAGCTTTAAAAATAAAAACTCAAAGTTGAGTTAATGAACTTGCTAGAGACAGTAGCCAAGAAATTCAATATGTAGTTCACTGAAGATAAGTCAAAGATTTCAAGTACTAACAAGTATCTTTAAAAAGGAGGTTCATAGTGATGATGCAAATTTAGGACTGTCAGTATGTTGGGTTAGATGGAAAAGGCTATCTATCAGTTTGTACAAAATTGGTTCATTGGTCAGTAAATATGCTTTATGTCCCATAAAGGTCAGTCCTAATAGGTCATTTAAAGTTCCTGGTTTATAGTCGTTTTATGATTATAATACAATACAGAATTTAGTTTTGCTCTGTCCTAGGCAAATGCTGCCCTGAGAGAAGTCTGCCTTTTACACAGGAAGAGAAGGCAGCACATGCAGAGGTGCTGAGGCAGAGCTCAGGATCCGCAGGTCTCAGCAGTTGTGTATGGCTCCCTGGGGAACAGCAGGATATGAGGTGGGAGTGGTAGGCAGGGGCTGTGTCACACCTGCTAAGCTAAGCAGGTTGTTTGGAGAATGCACGTAGCACAATGCCTGGCACATAGTAAATACTCAGTGCTTTTCCTCCTTCCTTTTTCCTGTGCTACCTCTGGCTGATGGGGTCCCTGTAGGCCATGATGGTTGTAGTTAATGTTCATCATCCAAACATATATCATAGGCCAAGCCCACATATTTACAATAGTGGGGGCCATTTTGTCCCTTCCAGGCTCAGCATGCAGGGGGTGTCATTACTGAAGAGGACTTCAGCAACTACAGCGCTCTCGTGGAGAAGCCCGTGTGTGGCGTGTACAGAGGTGACCACTCCCCCAGCTCCCAGATTCCCCACAAAGGAGGTTTCCAGTCCATGGCCATATCGTTTTGGCCTGGAGACTCCTCTCCATTTCACAGGAGAGAAACTGAGTCAGTGAGCTGCCTGGATAGTCAACTGTTGAAGCAAGCCAAAGCCATGGGGTTAGTCATCCCAAGTACTTAGAAATTGGGCTGGGTACAAGATATCATCAAGTCTTAGACCTAGAAGTCGAGGTTCTGACCATATTTTTTCTTGATTTGGGCTTTGTATGGCCTTTGTCCCCTCACCAGCCCCATTTTCACTGCCCTGTGTTTCCTAAAAAGAATCTAAGACCAAAATCCATCTAACCTTTAGGATAGACTGAAACCATAAGGACAGTCACAAACTTGTTCCCTCTCTGTACCAAAAGAAATTAGGGCCTGGACAGGTAATAGAACTTGACTTGCCAAACTCAAAAACTTAATAAGAAAATCCAGAAAGCAGAGCTCATGATATGGGTGAAATTCACATTTGCCAAGCCCAAGATAGTTCTGAGTTTCCAGGCCTCAATCTCTAGCCTGATTTCTCAGCCAGTGGTACATGAAATAGAGGTAAAATCATAGCTCCAGAGCCAGCAAGACTTGAAGTTGAATACTAGCTACATTACTTACCTTGAAAAAGTACTTCCTTGGGGCCCAGGGATTTAGCTCAGTGACATGAACGCCTGCCTGGCAAGCGCTATATCATGAGTATGATCCCCATACCAAAATAAAATTAAAAAAAAAAGTACTTCTACTATGAACTTTAGCTCACTGCTTAACCCATTTATGCCAAAGGTTGCAGTGTTTTGAATTTTTGTATGAAATTCACATATGTTACCTAGAAAATTTCAGGGATCAAGAATTTAAAGAAAAAAGTTATTATGCTCTATTGTTATGTGCCATTCTAAAAATGGAACACTAGGCATAAAAAGATTAAAATGGAAATAATAGTGCCCACATCTCAGAAAGTTGCCTTGATCCAAGTAGGCACTAAATGTGTATTGAGTTTTCCATTTTTCCTTCCCCAGCCTGAGTTGTCTTAGCAATGCCAGCACCTTGCTGCTCTAGGTTCCCCATGTCCCCTGTGACATTGGGCCAGTTACCACACCTATAAAATGAAGCTGATAATATTACCCATTATGAGGATTAAATGTGTGAATCAGTTAATGCTACTGTTATGTGTCAGGTTATTATTCCTTTGACGTCCAAACATCCAATATCAGAGTAAAAAAAAGGAGGCTGCTGCTCACAAGAAGTTTCATCTTGAGGGGGACTATCAGAGCTCCTGGAATCTATCCTGCTCCATGGGAAAGGTCGAAAGGTGACACATGGCAGACCAGGAAGCTGGACATCTGGTCCCTGCTCTGCCAGGGGCCTACAGTGTGACTCTGGACAAGTCATACATGCCTCTTAAACCTTACTTTCCTCAAAGGGCAGAGAAAACTAAACACCAATGTTCCGAGTCAGTTTCTGGCCCTGTTTTTGACTTGGTGTATGAACTTGAGTGGGTCTTTTTGCCTCGAAATGCTTTCATTCCTCCCCTATCTGACGGAGTTCAGTGGGTGTGATGGTGGGATGTGCAGATGTGAAAAGGAATATGAAGATGACTTGATTTCTCCCCTGCCGTCTTGGTCATTTTCTGTCCATGTAGGTCACCTGGTTCTCAGTCCCCCACCACCACACACAGGCCCAGCTCTCATCAGTGCTCTCAACATCCTGGAGGGCTTCAATCTCACCAGCCTGGTATCCCGAGAGCAAGCTCTTCACTGGGTGGCAGAGGTAAGGCCAACCCCTGCACCTCACCTGAATTGGAGGACACTAGGAATAGAGAGATGGTCTACTGCCTTAGGGCAGGACTAACTCACTTTCAAGTTTTCTTACACATGATCCTCTGGGTGTGGGTGCTGGGAGTGGCCTGGCAGACTCTTCCACATCTCTGCTGTGCTTTTAGACCCTGAAGATCGCATTAGCCCTGGCCAGCAGACTGGGAGATCCTATCTATGATTCTACCATCACTGAGAGCACAGACGATATGCTCAGGTAGGTGCTGGGGTATGACCCTGGGGCTTCTGAATTAGTAGCAGGTGTGAGGAAAAGATCAGCTAAAAAGCCGCTGGTGGGTCTCAAGTCAGTTTCAGCTGAACCCCAACTTCTACTTTAACAGTGGGTACCTCTGCCTGCACTTTACCATCCCTATTTGCACCATGAATTTAGTCTACTTCATGTGGCGCTCACATTGTTTTGAGCCTCACAGATCACTATGCAGCCCCATCTGTTCCCCCTTTTATTTAAACTTTTTTTTCTTTTTTTTGTCTTTTTCATTTTTATCGGTACCAGGTATCGAACTCACGACTGCACACTTGCAAGGCAGGTGCTTATGCCGCTGAGCTAAATCCCCAGCCCCCTTTTTCTTTTTTTTTTTTTTGAGCCTGGATTTTATCATGTAGTTCAGACCAACCTTGAACTCACTAGGTAGCCCAGGCTGTTGGTGAACTCGAGGCGATACTCTTGTCTCAGCCACCCATGTGCTGAGATTACAAGTATATGCCACATGCCCTGCCTTTGCTCCCCTTGTTTAAATAGAAAAACTGTAATATCAAAAATAGCCACTGCAAACACTGGAGATGGTGGAAATTTTGAGTATGTGCTCATAAATCTTCATTGGTAGCATAACATAGTAGTAGGACTGCAGTATCTGATGGCACTTCTGCCACTGAGACCCTAACTTGAACGTTCACTAGCTGTGCTACCTTGGACGAGTAATTTAAGCTGAGTCCATTTCTATAACAGCATCTTTTAATATACCATCAAATGTGTCTGGTTTTGATAAGGACTAAACCAGAGTATACATGCAAAGCATTTGTCTGGACACATAATCTATAAATGTTCAAATGTCATTTACTATTAATTGCCAAAAAGGAAAAACATGGTACTGACTTACAGGCTAGCCAAGGGTAAATCAAAGTCCAGAAATGTAGGCCTGGGATATAGTTCAAGATAGAACATGTGTCTAGCATGCATGAAGTCTTGGTCTTACTCTCCAGCACTGGGGGGGATAAAAGATGCAACCAAAAATATAGTAGTGTAAATTTGAATTTTGAGGGGGAAGGAATGTTGAGACAGGGTCTTGCTGTATAGTTCAGGCTGGCCTTACACCAAGTTGGTCTAAGCTTGCAGCAGTCCACCTGCCTCAGCCTCCTAAGTGCTGGAATTACAGGCATATGCCATCATGCCTGCTATAAATTTAAATTTTAATTCAAACAGTCCTCTACAAATTAATGGAAATAGTAAAGCTAAATCAATTATAATCAAAAAGCAACATAATGGGGTTTTGGAGGTATATGTCAAAGGACACAAAATGGTAGATCAAACAGGTAAGTTAAAGAGATCTTCTACACCCTGGTGACCATAGTTAAAGACAATATACTCTTGATTAATTCAAAGAGAAGTGAAGTTAAATGTTTTTACCACAGAATGGTAAGTGAGGTAAACACCATTTTTTTGTTTTGTGTTTTTGTTTTTGTTTTTGTTTTTTTGGTAACAGGGATTAAACTCACAACCTCATGTGCCGCTGGGCTATATCCCTGGTCCAATGCCATAGTTAATTAGCTGGATTTAGCCATTCCACACTTCGTTATAATTCAACACATCAGGCTGTATGTGATGAATACATACAAGCTTACCTGTTGATATAAGATTTAAAAGGTTAACATCACTGATAAAAATGTAAAGTAGAGCAGCAACCAAATTAGAAACCATGTCAATGCTACAGGGATGAAACATGAAAAGCAAAGCTTTGGCCTCCCAGTCCCTTTCAACAAAGCCTTGTGTGTCTGCTCTGCGTGGTCATCAACCTTGTTGGTTGAACACCAGTTGAACATCTTCAGTTATCCTTGGTAATTTATCATTCGCCAATCACTATGAATAACCAGCACATAATTATTAGCAGTGATATTGAGAAAACCTTCAGTTGAACTTTATATATATAAACTTTGAGACTTTAGCTCTAAAACACACACATACCTGTAGGGAATCTGTTCAACTAATTCATCCAGTAAATAGATGTTCTGAGTTTACTATGTATCAAGTACTCCTTTGCCTTGAAAAAAAAAAATTATAAAAGTAAGTAAAATTCCCACATGTACACTCCTCTCCTTTAACAAAACAAAACGAAACTACATTTTTATTATTTATTGTCTTTTTTTTTTTATCGGTACCAGGAATCGAACTCACGACTGCTTGCTTGCAAGGCAGGTGCTCATGCCGCTGAGCTCAATCCCCAGCCCCCGTTTATTAAAAGTCTTTTTGAGACAAGGTCTTGCTATGCAGTTTAGGCTGGCCTAGGGCTCACTTTGTGGCCCAGGCTGGTCTCAAACATACAATGATCTACCTGCCTCAGCCTCCCAAGTGCTCGGATTACCAAAAGAAAACTTTAAATCTAGATTACAAACATTAGGTTAAACGAATCCAGTTTGTTCATTCAAAACATATTTCTGAGCACTTAGTAGAGTCAAGTAATTTGTTCTTAATTTAAACAATAAGTAAGTTAAAAATTGGCTCTAGAAAAGAATTTGAGTATTACTTAAATAAATGGATTCAGTTCAACAGCTATTCCCTGTGTTGGTAGTAAGTGAGCTTCTACCCTCATATGCCTAATAGCCGGGGAGGAAGATTTTATCAAATAAATGCACAAATAAACACCACAGGTAGGTGGACTGTAATAAGAGCTTGTTTTGTGCTAATACCCTACTCCTTATCTTTTCAGCAAGGTGGAGGCCACCTACTTCCGGGGTCACATCAATGACTCCCAGGCAACCCCTGCCCCGCTCCTGCCTGTCTATGAGTTGGATGGGGCTCCTACAGCTGCCCAGGTGCTGATTATGGGCCCTGATGACTTAATTGTGGCCATGGTCAGGTATGCCAGCTCAGCCTTAGAACCTGGAACAAAAGATTATTTAAACTAGGAGGGAAGTAGCTGCGTAGATGTGAAGGCAAGTACAGGGCTCACCTGTCCCTACCTCGGCACCCAGCTCCCTGAACCGGCCCTTTGGCAGTGGCCTCATCACCCCCTCAGGAATCCTGCTCAACAGCCAGATGCTGGACTTTTCTTGGCCCAACAGGACTGCTAACCACTCTGCACACAACTTGGTGAGATATTGCTCTTTTCTTCCCCTGGTTGACCTGCGGCTAGACAGGAAGTGCAGCTGTATGGCCCCTTCCTCCCTGTTTCCTCTAGGAACTTATAAAAAAGTAAGATGTCATTTCATCCCTACTCCTGCGGAGTCTGGAGCTTAGAGTCTGGTGGATCTAAAGAACCTTTATCTCATTCTGTCACTGTCTCACCCTGTGACTTGGGGAACTCTTACCCTTCTTAGCACCTCAGTTTCTTCACCTGTACAAAGGGTACTGACCCTATTTGATGGCTGGCGCTCTTGCCTGCATTAGTAGTCTATGTCTGAAGGATGCTGAGCTGATAGGGCTTAACCCTGTTGCTGGCACAAAAGTGGGATCTAAGGATTTAGAAATTCCTAAAGATCAGCACTGTCGTGTCCTGTAGGCTGGATCTCCAGCAGAGCAAAGACATGTAGAAATGATCCAGCGAGGATTTTACTCTTCTTTCCTGTCGCAGCAGCCTTTCTCGGCTCAGTCTTTTGCCCTGAATCTAACAGCAGCCCCTCAGTTCAGTGGATCCACTTACTGCTGGCCCTTATTCACCCTCGCCATCCAGGGTCTGCTCTCTTCACAGATAGCACACCACTGCCCTGGAAAGGAAAAATCTCCCAAGAAAACTGGGCCTGTGGATGACGTAGACGAGAGAGAAGGATGGGAAGGTGATGGAGTGGCCCTTTGCTTGGCTTGCCCCATCCCACACCTTCTTTTTGTCTCTGCCTTCTAACAGGAGAACTCAGTGCAGCCAGGGAAGCGGCCGCTCTCTTTTCTGCTGCCCACTGTGGTCCGACCAGCAGAGGGGCTCTGTGGGACCTATCTTGCCCTGGGGGCCAATGGAGCTGCCCGAGGTCTCAGCGGCCTGACCCAGGTGAGGTTTCCTCCATTATGGGCCTTTGGTGGCCAGAAGCCAGGTTATGGCTTGGGCTCAGATTACCCTCACACCCCTGGCTTGTTTTTCCAGCCTTTATACTGCAAAGAGGAGTTGAGCTGCTTCATGCCAAGCCTGTCTTTGGCACAAATGGACTGTGCTTAGTTTCTTAGTGAAAATGAGGTCCTAAAGCCCAATTTCCCATTTTACAGGAGAAATCGCAGGGCCGGTAGAATTGAAAAGTGATAAAGCATCTGGGCTGCCTGTGTTGTGTCAACTTCAAGTCCCATCATCCCTTTATCCTCCATCTGAGTAGACAACCAGCCTTCTTTAGGGTCTGCCACTCTCCAGAATACCTCGGAACAGGTATTCACAGGGTGCGATGAACCTGTCAATCTACCTATCTATCTGGCACGTATTTTGGCAGGTGGTGAGTTAACTTTGGAATCAGACACCTGGGTTACATCCCAAATGCTGCCAATTTCCAACCATGTGATGCAGGGGAACTCTGTCAACCTCTCGGAACCTCAGTATCCCATCTCTCAAGTGGAAGTTATAGCAATAATTAACATTAATAGAGTTCTTACCAACTTCTGGGTACTTTTAAGCTTCCTAACTCTGGAAAGAATGAATGCTTCTATTTTACAGATGAGAAAAATGAAGCCCAGAGAGGTTAAGAAGTTAGGTCAAGTTCCTTCAGCTAAAGTGGGCAAGAAGCTCAGTTCCAGAGTCTAGTCACACTCAGCCAGTAAGCTGAAAGTATCCACACTGTTCCTTAAACAACCCTTACTATTAACTCTGCCCTGTCTGGAAAGAAGGAAGGTACCTGGGTGAGACTAAGAAGACTAGTACTAGTGGTGTCTCTTCCCTGGGTTCTCCTAAACTGTTGAGTGGGTCACTTTCCCTCTTCCGCCCTCAGTTTCCACCTCTGTGAAATGGGTACATTATCATAGGCCTACCTATCTTTCAGGGCTGTTGAGGACTCAGATGACACAGCTGATGTTTTTTCTATAGACTAAACCACTGAAGAATCTGGACCAAGGATGAGAACTGGGGAGTCCAGAACCACCACCTCTTGGACTTTCCTGACTTTTCTGCCCCTTGGTTACCCACAGGTTCTGCTAAATATCCTGACCTTGAATCGGAATCTAAGTGACAGCCTGGCCCGAGGCCGCCTACATCCAGACCTACAGTCCAATCTCCTGCAGGTGGACAGTGAGTGCAGAGTGGAGACTCCCTTTGGGTGGGTACAGGGTCAGGTGGAAAAGGGCTTCCCCCCAAGGTATCCTTTGTGTTAATTATATTAACTCCCTTCTTATAAAAGTTTGGCTTCTTTCCACAAATTCCCGTTGGAGCAATCAAAGATCCAGGGATTAGAATATCCTGACATTTCCTGCCTTTGTGGCCTTGGGAAAATTTATGTCTAACTCTGAGCTTCATTTTTCTCATTTGTAAAATGAGACACACTGGTTCATCCTGCAAACCTTCATTCATTTAACAGTTTGTATTGAATAAATGCTGTGTGCTAGGCATCATCCTCAGTGCTCGGGATGCTGCATGTACAGGCAGGAAAACAATGAAAAAAATGAGATAGCAAAATAAATTCCTGGCTGAGCATTAAAGCACAATGATATAAAGGGACAGATTCAGTGATCAGGGGTTTCTGTTTGGTGACAGCTGAGCTGAGATCTGAAGAGTGAGAAAGAGCCCACCATGCAAAGAACTGGGGCAGAGCTTTATAGAGCAAGAGAACATATACAAAGAACTCCGGGCAGGAATGAACCTGATGTGGGTAAGGACAAAAGGAGAACAAAATGAGTGAGGCTAAGATGAGATCAGAGAGGCAGACAGGAGCCAGGTCTGGACTTTATAGACTTATGGTCTGGAGATGAACTTGCCTGTAAGAACAAGGGCTTAATTTTGGGCAGAGCATAATTTTGTAAATAGGAAAGTGTATGTACGTGTGCAGAGTTTTTGTTATGACAGACAATTACTATGCTAGTCCAAGGAGATATAGAACTGATTGAGATATAGTCCTTCCCCCGGCAACATTATTGTAACATTATTATCAGTATTTTACAGATTTAAAAAACACCCTGAGACTCAGAAGTTATAAAGTTCAACCGCTAAGTGATAGAACTGAAATTAGAACATATCCCTGGCTGATAGCAAATACTGTGCTCAAATTTTTGCTGCATGGTCTTTGTTATCTCCTGGACTGAAGCAAGTTAGAAGCACTGTTCTAGGTCCTCAGCAGTGACAGCCAGTAGTCGCCAGTGACATTGGATAAGCAGCTCGATTGTGTTCAACACATTCCTGCCAATCTCTGCTGAATGTGAAGCACCGAGCTAAGTTGTCCAGGTGGTGCATCCCAACCCTGGCTTGAATGGAGCCTAGTGAAGGGCAAGTTCATCCACCTGAGGCGGCAGAAGGCTTTTTGGAGGAGGTGACAACTGCCAGCCCTTGAAGTATAAACAGGAATTTGGCATGTGGAGGTAAAGGGCATTCTGAAACAGAGTCGGGAAAAAAGTCCAGAAAAGTGGCTCAGAGAGTAGCCAGGAGGCTAAGTTATTTCTGGATTCTGAATTTACCCAGCATCTTTGAGACTTTGCCACATTTACACATCATCTCAACCACCATCTATCTAACATCTATCTATAAATGGACTTTTAAAAAAACCTAAGCGTATTTTTTAAGGCCAACCTTATAATTACAAATGGTGAACTACCATCATTCTCCACAAATAGATAATAAATAGCTATTTTAAAAATAATTTTAGGTTTTACTTAGATACTGTTGTCTGAAGAAAGCTTGAGCCCTGATTTCTCTGTTAAAGGAGATAAAAAAATGTTGGAACCCATCCTAAAACTTGGTCCTTGCTATAATTGAAAGGATTGAAAGTGAACCACAAAGAGAATATATTTCTAACTAGATGATTTGATGCCATATTTCAATAATGTGTTTATCTCAAAGACTACGTAAACTCATCTGTTGAGGGAAATAAGAAGACCAGATCTTTATAAAGAAGCATTGGAGGGGCTGGGGATTTAGCTCAGTGGCATAAGTGCCTGCCTTGCAAGCGTGTGGTCGTGAGTTCGATCCCTGGTACCGGTTTTAAAAAAAAGAAGCATTGGAAAGTGAACTTAATAGAGTTTATGAAGGTCAGTGTTAAGCATGGGCTTTCCAGGTATGGTGATACATACCTGTAATCCTAGCATTCAAGAGACTGAGGCAGGAGGATCACCATGAGTTCAAATCCAGCCTAAACTACATAGCGAGAACCAGTCTCAAAAAAGTGGCTATACCACTCTGAACATGCCTGATCTTGCCAAAAACACAAGACAAAACAAAATCAGTATAGATCTTAGCCAGCTGAGCAGGAGAGTCACACAGCCTGAGCTGCTTTATGTAGAGAAGGTGGATTGAAGGGAGAAGAACTTAAACTGGAGAAATATGAGAAGCTAGGATATGATTCAAGCCAGAGATGATATGGATCTGAGCTTATGTGAGAGGAATGGGATTTATTCATCTCTGTAGAAAATACCAGGGCTGGGGATTTAGCTCAGCGGCATAAGCGCCTGCCTTGCAAGCAGGCAGTCGTGAGTTCGATCCCTGGTACCAATAAAAACGAAAAAGACAAAAAAAAAAAGAAAATACCCACTTAATTTTTACGGTATAATGAGCCTGTCCTGACACTGGGGAGCAATAGCAAACAAGACAGAAATGCTGCCCCAGTGGAGGGAAACAGTCAATAAATAAATACAGATAGTACTACATACTTTGAAAGAAAACAAAGCAAGGTAAAGATAGCAGGACTGTGATGTTAGATAATGCTCGGGAATATTCTTGAAGAAGTTATCTTTTGGCCAATGACTAGAATGAAGTAAGGGCTCCAGCTCTGTGATAAGAAGAAAAGGTTCCAGTCTGCAAGAACAGCAAGTGCACAGGCCCTGGGGTAGGAGCATGTTTGGTCTGTTTGAGTGACAGCAGAGACTAGTGTGGCTGGAACAGAGTTAAGCAATTTGGAGAACAGAAGGAATTAAGGAGAAGAAGTTAAAAGAGATAACAAGGTCCTAGTTAATGTTGGGCTTTAGAAGGCTTAGTAAGGCTATTGGATTTTATTCGAAGATATGTCAGACCTGTTGTAGGGTTTTGAGAGGGAGACAGTGACATGGTTTGACTCAGTTCTAAAGGATCCCTTTGGCTACCATATGAAGAGTAAGGAACACAGGAGCAGAGGCAGGGAAACAATTTAATGGACTATGCAGTAATGTTGGCAAAGAAAGACAACAGCCTGGCTTAGGTGGGTGGAGATGAAGACACCCTTTTCCAATGTTACGTATGACTGTATTATTGATGACTTACTGTGGCTGTCGCACTGAGTGCTTTCAGAGCATTATCTCCTTTAATTCCTGCAGCAACTTTATGTAGTAGGTTCTCTTATGATCAGCACTTTATACAAGAGGACACTGAAGCTCAGAGAGGTAATGCAATTTGCCCAAGGCCACACAGTATTTTGGTGGAGCACCTGGGATCAGGACTCAAATCCAACAGGACTCCCAAGGTGGTGCTCTGAATACCCTAAATGTGCCTATGTTGGGGGATGCTTTTCAGATGAGTTCACAGAGGAGGAGATCGAGTTCCTGGAAGCCAGGGGTCACCACGTGGAGAAGGTAGATGTCTTATCCTGGGTCCATGGCAGCCGGAGAACCAACAATTTCATCATTGGCGTGAAGGACCCTCGGAGCCCAGATGCAGCTGGAGCCACCATTCTGTAGAACAGAGGGATGGGGTGGGGTTACTGCTCCCCTCTCCTATTTGCATGTTCCCAGAGTCCCTCCTTCTCCCAGGTTTGGTCTCAGGGGAACCCAGAAATGTCCCAGATCAGGGACAGGTGAGAGGGGATGCTTAGCAAACCTTACCCCAGAGTAACCAGAAAATTCTCCATCAGGAAGACTGTGGTGGCAGTGGTGAGTGTCAGTGTTGATGAGCAGGCGGGCAGGACCTTGAGGACTCAGACCATCTGCCTGCCTCCTCTCCTCTCGCAGCCATGAGCTTACAGATGTGCTTGCAAACCTTTCTCAAGGGTCTCACAACCCCAACCTCTTCAGGCTGGCCTGACCAAGACCTTGTCTTCCAGCTCCTTCCTCCTGTCCCCAGCCTCATTTCTTAAATGACTAGAGTTTTTTTAAGAAACCATCATGGAGTGAGACTAATCCTCTCCTACCTTTACTAGGTTGGGGCAGAGGCCTTGCATCTAGGGATCCCCAGGGTGTCGGGTAGGGGTGGGGGTGGGGGCCAGCTCAGGGGCTTCCATTTGCAGAGGGGAATTAAAGAAAAAATATTGCTTAACCAAGGCTCTGGCATTATTTATGTCTAATTGGGTTAGAAGTGGGAGCAGGAGAGGAGACTTCAGCTCACCGCATCCCACAGCAAGCTGGAATCCACTTTGTGTGGGTCATTATGCAGTAATACATAATGGACAAGTGATAGTTAACAAGTTTAAGAAATTGGGTGTAAGGCCAGGGATTTAGCTCAGTGGCATTAGCGCCTGTCTGGCAAGTACAAGGTTGTGAGTTCAATCCCTGGTACCAAAAAAAAAAAAAAGAAAAGAAAAGAAAAAGAAATTGGGTGTGGCAGGTGTTTGCCAATCCTCCCAGGTACTCAGGAGGCCAGGAGTAGCACTTGAGCCCAGGAGTTCAGGGCAGCGTAGGCAACACAGCGAGACTCTGTCTCAAGAAATAAACAAACAGGGCTGGAAATACAGCTCAGAATGTTTGCCTAGTATGTATAAGGGCTACTGAAAACTTAGGTTTGCCAAGCCCTATGCTAAGAACTTTATGTGAATAACTTACTTAATCTTTACCACAAACCTCATGAGGTAATGACTAATATCATCATTTTACAGATGGGAAATAGGCAAAAAGAGATTAAGGAACTTGTCTAAAAGTTATTTATCTTGCGTGTGTGTGTGTGTGTGTGTGTGCAGTGGAGGGTACTGGGGTTTGAGCCCTGGGCCTTCATACCCAGGTATCACTCCAGCCCTTTTTAAAATTATTGTTTTAGTTTATTGGTGTATGTATGTAATGCATAATGTTTACATTCCTTGGGGGAAGTTGGTTCCTGTGCATAACACATCTTAATTCCCTTTTTCACCCCTCTTCCCCTCTACTCATCCCTTGATCTCCTGTTTTTTGGGGGAGGGGAATACATGTTCGCAGTACATAATGTTTACATTACTTATGTGGAGTTGGTACATGTACATAACACATCCCAATTCCTTTTTTTCATCCTTTATTGCTTCTCTCCTTCCTCTAGTCCTTCTTTATTTTTTTATTTTGAGATATGGTCTTGAGTAAGTTGCTAAGTGATCCAGACTGGGCTTCAGCTTGCAGTCTTCCTGCCTCAGCCTCCCAGCGAGCTGGAATTAGAAGCGTGCACCACCACACCCAGCTTCTCTAATGGAAGTATTTCAATCTTGGAATATCAAACCATAGAAAAATCTATGCTCTTAACCAGTTCTGCATCTACTGAGTAAATTATTTGTTAAAAAGTGTACATTCCAGGGGCTGGGGATTTAGCTCAGCGGCATAAACGCCTGGCTTGCAAGCAGGCAGTCGTGAGTTCGATCCCTGGTACCAATAAAAACGAAAAAGACAAAAAAAAAAAAGTGTACATTCCAAAGTATGTATCAAGCAGTAAATATATTTTATAAATTATATCATTGATTAATGTATGCATGCATCCATCCATTATGTTCCAGGCACTTTCTTAGGTACTGGAATTCAGTGCTGGATAAAATGAACAGGCTATATTTAAGGGGTTTGCAATATAAAGGGAAGTCAAATATTAAAGAAAGAAGTACCAGATAATTAAGGCAATTGCCAACATAAGTTCAATACCTCCCCTCATAAAGGAAATATAATAGATGTTACATATGTAACAATTATTTAAATATCAAATGTCTCCTAAATACATAATGTTGTTGATCCATCCCCTAAAATTCCTAACTTTCAAAAAATTGCACTATCAATAATTTAGTATATAGTTCTCCAACTTTTTATGCACATTAAGATACATTATATTTAAAAAAACTGAATTATATTTTTATGCTACAACTTCCTTTTTCTAAATTTACAAAGATAATATGGATATTTTCCCATGTCAAAGTATATGGAGCTACCTCATTTTTTATAATGATGAGTCATAGTTCATTGAAGGATCTAACTAGTTTCCTGTTGATGGATATTTGGATGGTTTCTTGTGAGGCTTTGACTATCTTTGCCTTGGTATCTATAGGTGCTTAAGCCATGCCTGTCATCATACCAGCTCTCCTCCTAGGCTGTCTCTCAAATGATAGAATGTCTAATTCTATTAGAAATGCTATAATAAAATACCATCAACCAGTTAGCTCATAACAAAAGTTTATTTCTCACGGTTCAGGCACAAGGAAGTCCAAGATCAAGGAATCAGGAGATTTGGTGCCTGGTAAGTAGTGTTTCCTCAAAGACAGGCATGTTTTGGGGCTGGGGATTTACCTCAGCGGCATAAGTGCCTGCCTTGCAAGCCGGCAGTCGTGAGTTTGATCCCTGGTACCGATAAAAAGGAAAAAGACAAAAAAAAAAAAAGATATAATAAAAAAAAGACAGGCATGTTTTGGGTCCTCACACAGTAGAAGTGGCAAGGAGCTCTTGGGTACCTCTTTTATAAGGGCACTAATCTCACGGACTAAATGACCTAATCTCTTCTCAGAGTCCCAACCTTCTAATACCAGCACATTATCCATTAAGTTTCACTTAAAGCTTTGGTTTTTATCGGTACCAGGGATCGAACTCAGGACTGCCTGCTTCCAAGGCAGGC